GGAACTGTTTTTCTTTTTGATAGGGGCACCCCCCCCCCCTTCCATAAAAAAAACTGCCAACCCAGTTAAACTGCCAAAATTCTGCTGCACAAACATTGGTGGTTTAATGGGGTTTGACTGTAGTTGTCCTATGAGGTTTTAAAACTTGTCATCTCACTTTGTCCGCACTTTGATACTGCCCCAAACTTTTGCCACGCAGCGCACAGTAAGGCACAGCAGTTGCAGGCAGGCTTTGCATTGTGCTTCCAAGCTATTACATATGTATTGCTCTGCATTGCATTGTGCGTATGTGTTAGCCTGAGTTTAGCTTGCCATCAATAGGAGTAAGGTTTGGTTGGTTGGGTTGGATTTGGTTAGTTGGGTTATATTAGATCAGTTGGGTTAGATTAGGTCAGTTGGGTTATATTAGATCAGTTGGGTTAGATTAGGTCAGTTGGATTCTATTATATCAGTTGGGTTAGATTAGGTCAGTTGGATTAGATTAGGTCAGTTGGGTTAAATCTTACATTTGATCAAATATTTACATTTTGTCAGTTACTTAGGTTAGGTTAGGTTAGGTAAGGTTGGGTTTGGTTAGGTTAGGTTAGGTTAGGTAAGGTTGGGTTTGGTTAGGTTAGGTTAGGTTAGGTAAGGTTGGGTTTGGTTAGGTTAGGTTGGGTTTGTTAGGTTAGGTTAGGATTGGTTAGGATTGGTTAGTTATGTTAGGTGGGTTATGTTTGGTTGGTTATGTTAGATAAGTTATGTTAGATAAGTTATGTTAGATAAGTTATGTTAGATAAGTTATGTTAGATAAGTTATATTAAACTAGATAGGTCCAGTTTGTTGGAAAATATCCTGCTGTTCAGTAATATTATCTGTTGCATTCTGCAGCAATGACACCTAATGTATTTTCTTAGGCTTGTGCATTGCTCCTCAGCTCCAGTATTTGGGGTGCAGTAATATGTGAGCAGCACAAGCAACAGAGACAACAAAAGGTGTTTTTTCTGGTGATCAGATTCACTAGGATGAATTTCTTTTCCAGACACAGGCAGAAGTTTGTACAATAACACAAGTTTCATGGACACAGTAGAACAGGTGGCATTGAGTCAGTAATAGTTGGAGATGATGGGTTTTCCTCTGTTCTGGTCCCTTGTTTTATTAGGCTGGTGACCCTGTAGTTTGTGGGTTCCCTTGGGGTCTGTTATCTTGTCCAGCTAGTTAATTGTCCTTGTAGGTACAAACAAGGACATGCTAGTGCTATGCTACTGACATGTTGTTCTTTTAGTCATGTTTTATTAATATGCAGGAGAGATATTGTCTTTGGTATTGTTTACTTGGAAATGCACATCTGGTTTTAGGGAATTGTGGTACCGTATTTACTTGAGTACCACATGCCCTTGAGTAAGGCGCAAATTTTTGGGGTGAAAATTGGCCAAAAAGATATCCCTGTGTATGATCCGCACCCCAGTTTTGGCTGGCTAAACTATATTTTTGAGAATAATTTTTTAGAACTAAAAGTGGAATGAAATAGCAGTAGAATTTTTAATTCAGATGCTTTCTTCAATACTTTCAGCACAATGTACACAGCATTTCATTGTGAAATTGAAAGTACAGTACTCCCACTGCTGCAAGTGGCCAGAATGCTGAAGAATTCTCCTGAGAAAAAATTGACTTGTATTAAAGTGATAACTAGCAATAGACTTGTTTGTGGCTTACCATGCAGATCAAAATCAATCTTGATGATCATCAGATGACCCAATGGATTATTCACTGCTACTGACATCATCACTACTTTCCCACACAGCATCATCTTCACTCCCATTCAGATTTTTGGATATGCAGTACTTTTTGAAACTTTTAACCACAAGATTTTCAGGAATATGTTTCCAAGCTACTTTTATCCACTCACACATTTGTTTCAAGGTTGGGGGCTTAATTTTCCCAGTTGGTGTTTTATCATGCACATTTGTTGCAGCCCATTGAGAATACATTCTGGAGAGATGACTTTTAAAGGGCCTATTGATGTACACATCCAGAGATTGGAGCAGTGAAGTCATGCCCCCAGAAATCACCATTTGATCAGTTGATCAGGAATGTCCTTGCTGAGCCTTGGAACCAAAATAGGGTTTGGTTCATAGGCTCAGGATAGAAGAATTCCTCATTTTTTTAAAGAGAGAGGATTTAGACAGATCATGAAGAGTGCCATCCTGGCACCTGTTGCTGTTATTCCAACATGAACCCCCTTTTACTTCTTGAAACAGCTGAAAAGATTGTTTCAAGAGTGAAAGTAAAGAGAAAACAAATATAAATATATTTAAGTGGATAACATATTAACTGTAGCATTCAATTGACTTAAGAAACAGAGTAGAACACCTTGCTCATTCAAAAACATCATAAATTGCTTCTTGAATTGCTGTCCCAGTCAGTCTTAAATATTCTGGTTAAATTGTCTTGTTTTGTATTGATGCAGCTGTTTTTGAGGTGCTTGACTCATAGGCTGACTCAAGAACTGCTCTTCACATAGGTTGAGTCAGAGGGAGCCAGGGTCTCCTTTCTACCAGGCCTCCTGATAGTTCCTGTCAGTTGTTTCTGCACTCTGCCTGATTTGTTATTGGCACCATCTGTTTTGATTTGATCTGTTCTTAGAGCTTTTTGTGTGATTTGCTCAGAATTTTTCAGATGCTGCTTTCAAATTTTCATCTTGTTTTATTATTGCTTTGGTGTTGTGCTGTTCTTTTTGCTCAATTTTGGATCAATTTTATTTTTTCTTTTCTTTTTTATTTAATTTTGCTTTTTGCTGTCAATTTTGTTTTGTTTTTGCTTTTAATTTTGCTTTGTGTTTTGCTTCTACTTTCTCTTTGAATAACAGCCAGTAAAAGCTGCAGACAGTTAATGGTCTATTTTGCCAAATTTTGGCTGCATTTTTGAAAGACAGTAGCTTACAAAGACATACTGAGATCCAGCTTTTGGTCAACGTTTTTGGCTGCAGTTGTTTTGGTTATGGTAGTTTACTGGGACATTTACCAAGGTCCTGCCTAAATTGCCAGTGCTTGTGACTATTCTATCTCTTCAAATTTCCATATGAAGAGTTCAATGGGGACTTACCAAGGTCCAGCATTTTGCCACGTTGGCCTGTCTCTACTTTCTTGTTGATGATTTGTCAGCTGCAGTTTATGATTGACTTGCTCAGGTCCAGTGTTACACTATGACTTAATTAGTTTTTATTTCAGTTTTTGATTTTGGTTTGATTACCCAATATTTGAATGATTTTCAGGGTTGTTGAACTCAAAAAGTGCAATCTTCACATTGAAGTGATTGATTCAGATCTTCAATATTGAACTAGTTTTGAAAGTTTGAGAACATTTTGAGCAATGGATCTTTTCTGTCAACCAGAGCAGATGTTTGGCTATTTGATGAGCCCCAGAGTAAGTGATGATTTTAATGCACTTCCTCAAAGTGACACTTTTTGGTTTCCTGTTTTGGTTTGTTTTGTATTGTCAGAACAAACTTTTGAATTTTCAGTTCTTGATGAAGGAATGTTGCATTTGTCTACCTTGACTAATGTATCCACTTTGGAGAAGAATTCTCAAAATGGGGATGAGAATGTTCAGTACTTTTGCTTCTTCTTGATTGTTTCAATTATTCATTAATAGTTTGCTATTGAGTGTCACTGATCCCAGCCAAGTTTTGAAGAACAATTCCCAACTTGTGTGACTACAAGGACCAGTCTTGCATGGAAAGATATTCTGGGATAAACCATCACATCCTCCCCACAGAATTTCTTATTTATCTCTATTAACCTCACCTGACCTAACCTAGCCTAATTGACCTAACCTAACCTAGCCTAATTGACCTAACCTAACCTAGCCTAATTGACCTAACCTAACCTAATTGACCTAACCTAACCTAGCCTAATTGACCTAACCTAACCTAGCCTAATTGACCTAACCTAACCTAGCCTAATTGACCTAACCTAACCTAATTGACCTAACCTAACATAACCAAACTGACCTAACCTTACCTAACCTAACTGACCTAACCTATCTGACCTAACCTAACCTAACCTAACTGACCTAATATAACCTAAGAGACATAACCTTACCTAACCTAACTGACCTAATATAACCTAAGAGACACAACCTTACCTAACCTAACTGACCTAATATAACCTAAGAGACATAACCTTACCTAACCTAACTGACTTAATATAACCTAAGAGACATAACCTTACCTAACCTAACTGACCTAACCAAATCAAGTTTACCTAAATCAACTGACATAACCTAACCTAAGTGATGTGACCTAATCTAAACAAACATACACTTTCCTTACCAAAACAATACTGTACTAACCTTACCTTGTCAACCTAAGAGTTGACAAAGTAAGGTTAGTACAGTTAAGAGTTGACCATAAATTACTAAAGAACTCAATAACCTAATAAAATCTTAAACTCAATATTAACTCTTGTGTGGAAAAGTCAGGATATATTTGCAAAATGTTGCATCACTGAGAACTGGGAATTAAAAGAATGCAACTTTTGTACAAAGGCCTGAGTTGGGAAAAATGCAACAATTTTTTCTTATCCAGCAGAAAATTATGGATGAAAAATAAAAAAAATCCCTCACTGGGTGACATTTTTCCTGCATTCCTGGCATGGGAACAGCATGGAAGATTCCTGAAAACAAAAGAGAATTTGTCTCCTGGTTTCTTCCCTGACTTTGGCCTTCTTGTCAACCTGGGAGCATTTCAGCAACCTTGGGTCAAATTTAAATGCTCCACCCCCTTTTTCTCACAATGGAAATGAACCCTCTGCCATCCAAGTGTTAAACATAATAAACCTTTAAAGAAACACAGGACAGTACTGTATAGCGAATTTATGGTAATTTCAAACCAAACTCATATCCCGCTGACCCAAAAGATGATACGAATGCAGCAGCAACGACATCTAGTAGTTTGTTTATTCATTAGTGCACAATTGTAGGAGCGCGCGGCGCTCACCAGTTCGGTAGTTTCCTGGAGTTGCCGGAAGTTGGAGGCAGGACGAAACTGGCGCTGAATGGTGGAGATCAGAATCTGTCACTGTACGGGTGTCTCTGCCTGTGTGAATTAGTTCTCCGGCGATTTCTCTGGCAGCAGCTTTTGAGTGAGCGCATTTGTGCCGCCTAAGAATGCCTTCTGCCAAACTCGAGAACATTTTCCAGAATGAACAAAATATTGCACGTCCGACTGCACCGCCTGCTGAGGATTCCGTTGAACTGGACGTAGATGATCCTTTCAACACCTGTTATCCCAATTTACCGTTAATTCGATGCATTGAAGATGATGACGCTTCTCCTGCTTCCGTTTCTGATGTCACCGAAATCGACGATGAAGTCAATTTTGAACTCAAGCGAGCGTTTGCCGTGCGATCATTTATTGGTCACTGGGATGCTGTTCTTTCAGCGGACTTCCGGAATGACTTGATGATTTCTGCTGGGTATCTCGAAACGATTTTTTGCTCGGTCAAGAGCGCCCTTTTAAATGAAATTTTATTCAGACAGGATAGCACGGCTCGGGTTTGGCGCATAAGCACAGGAGAAGAAATTCAGAGCCTGCGTGGACACAGGGATGCCGTTACTTCTGTGTGCTTCGTACCAGTCGAAGTTCAACCTTCGATGTCAGAACGATACGGTTGTCATCCGAATCAGCAATTGTGCTTGTCTGCATCTCTAGATTGCATGTTGAACTTGTGGCTGATTGACAGAGGTTCGCTTGAATACGCATTGTGATGCCCTGGTCATTCATCTCATTTTATGCATTATCAGGATCGAAGCCACTAGAATCTCTCTATACTTTCTGCGGAATCACACGTCTTCGGTGCTTCGCTTGTTTGACGTCTGGTGAAACCTTTGCTATTATTGGAAACCAAGCAGGAAATATTGAAGCATTCGACTTGTCCTCATTCAGCCTTGCATTCTCAACCAAAGCATTTAGTGACGAAGTCGTCGCTCTAAATGTGAGATATATATTCTTGTGCGAGTCGTTATCCGATAACCATTGTTTTTCAGCCAACAGATCGATGAACAGTCCAGAAGGCTTTTTGCGGCCAGTAAAGAAGGAAAATTCATGGTGTGGAACCTGGTTTGTACGACCGCAAATGTTGGCTCTCCATTGAAGCTGGAAAATATTTATGCATCTGAGCGCCTTCATTCCCCAGAAAGACAAATAATCAAACCTTCCTGCTTGAAATGCGCCTTTGGATTTTCAAAACCAGATATTACGAATGGGAATGAGTTCATCTATATGGACAGGGGTGTGAATCTCAAGTCACTGGACTGCGCGACGAGTGAGAGCGTTGTTTTATTTCATTAGAAACATATTCCAATTACTCATTCCACGGGTCCCTTTCGTTGGTATTAGATCGGATTATGAAGTTGAAGAATCGAGTTGAAACCGGTTGTGTTTGTGGAGGTATTGGTCACCATGAAGACTACATTTTTTGTTCTTCGTTTGAACCAGTCGAAGGAGTTTCGCACATCCATGGTAAGCATTTTTCTGAAAGCTTGAAGATGCTGTATTTCTCCACCTCCTTTTTATCTAGTTAGAAGAAGGAGTACTCTCAGGTATATTACATCTGTTGCCGATGATGCTGCGCGACGGATATCTGCCATAGTATGTGGTATTGGGGATGTATCCTTGGGAGCTGATAGAACATCGTCAGTCTTCAGGATGGTGACGGTCGGATCTGATCTGACAGTTTGGAATTTCTTTAATCCGAGAAGCCGGAAAATGCTGAAGTAAGTATCGTTAATCTAAATTTCTTATCCAAGTAAAAGGATGCTTCCCATGACTGGAAAAATTTTCCCTACGGAAAAACGAAATCAATAGAAGAGAATTGAGCTAAATTGAAACTTGTATCCTTATTTTCTATGATCCAAAAGGATTGCAAGAGGGGAACGATTTTATTTGGCTAGGAAATAATCGCGAGGTCTTCCGTATACTTGGTGAATTTTTACAAGTTCGTCTTATACTGTACTTCAAATTCTCATTTGGTGGATAGGAAAAGGTCAAATTCAAGTTTTGAATGTTTGATCAATGCACGTATTGATTGTAAGATATTTGCTGATGCCGGTTTGTTCGGATTGCGAATGCTTAAATTTATTCATAAATATTCCTGGATTATCTTTTGGTTACCGAAAAAACCGTACTGTGCCGTACTCCAGTGAATTGTCTACGGATTGAACTTGTCCTTTTGGCATTTGAAGAACCCAATTTCGGTTTATTTCTCTATCCATTGTTGAACTTGAGTGAAACCCGTGGGGCGAATTTCAATTTTCTCGGAACACGATGAAAGAGAGAATATTATTTGATGTACTGTGCACGTTGTCCACTCATTCACTCCAATATGATTCACTCAACGTTCAATTTGACGAGATTTTACTTGGCATTTCATCCCCTAGAAATTATGCTATGATGTGTAAAGGATTTTTTCAGTGAATGTTTTCTCCCTTCCAGGTGTTTGTCGAAATGGAGTGATGTCATTATTTATCCGGAGAGAATGTCGTGTATGGAGAGTGATGTTGATGGCACTGATGACGATGATTCCGATTATGAATTTTTATCGTCATCCGAAGCTAATTTTCCGGACGATGCTTCTGATTATCTGGAGGATTCTTCATTCGACGATGAAGATCAATGTGAAGTTGTGCATGAACGATTTGTGGAAGAGGAACCGTCGAAATCCCTGTGGTCATGCTCGCTTTTGTGATGAACTATGTTTCAAGGTTCAAAGCTCATTCCTGTCGGGTATTCTGTTCAAATTTGTACGTTTTGATATGCTGGTAATTGAATTGATTTGATTCAAGAAATCAAGGATTTGTTGTTTTTCTCGAATAATTTTATTGTCTTGTGGAACTATTTATTTATTTCCGAGTAGTGTTTTTACTTCTTGGTATTTCCTTCAGAACGGTCGACCTCTAGTGTTCTTTGAGTTGATCAATATGGGTCCACTCAAGAATGGTGATGTTCTCAGCTGGGAGGACACGAAGCAGTTTTCCAAAGCATTTCGACGGAGTGGGATTCGACAATTCATCCACCATTTTCCTGTCATGCAAAAACATTCGGAAGATATTCTGAAATGGGGAGATGAAGTGAGCTATCCTTCTAAGTTTTTTGCTGCGTTTTCGTGATTCTGTTTTTCTCATTTACGATAGTTGGAATGCATGTTGGTGAAGTTCAATCACTCGAAGAAACAAGTTCGATTGCTCTTGAAATCCGGAAATTTGCTTGCTAAGCTCCGGAAAATTGAGGAAGAACATGTAGCGAACGGGTATTGGAATTCAACGAAATCAACTATCAAACATATTTTTGTAAACGTCGTTTTCTAGGAGGGAAGACAAACTATTGTGTCTTTGGAGGCCGGAGTACTGTTCTTACATGATAGAAAACAGCCCAGGTCAACCGTTTGGTTGTCTGAGCGCGCATTTAAATCTGCTGGAGAAGAACATGAATGCTCGTCGGGAAGATATCAAGAGGTTTTTGGGACCCGATGAAAAGCTCTTGACTCTGACAGCTTTTCCGAGGTAGTGCGTCGATTCATTTCGCAGTATTGTAGTTCAATGCGGCTGCATCATGAAAATCTTGATATTTTGCATAATTCAATTTTTATTAGTCAATTTATAGGTTTTAAACATTTTTTTTAGGCTGGGATGTTTCCCATTCACTGAACCCGTTTACCCGGCTACACCCGGGAAAGGAACTTGTGAGTCCTACTTTTTCCCAGACGAAGTCATTCAAAACTTTTACCCAAGGTTTTTCACCATCAACAAAAATCTGATCCAAAGACGGGGTGCGAAGCCGTCCATCTTTGTGCCAAGTAATGAACTTTCTCTTCCAATTTTTGCATTTTTTCATTTATCGAAAGAGGTTGTACTTCTCAGTTTTTCAAGACAAGGAAACACCATCGCCGTTTGCTGAAACCTTTTTTGATGGTTTGGGTGGTTGTGAGAAGGGAATCGAAGATCACATCTTCATGGATGCAATGGGGTTCGGGGCAGGTTGCTGTTGCCTCCAAGTGGGTTATTTCTCATTCGCTGTTAGCAAATTTATTTAGCTCACAATCATCATCAGATAACGTTTCAAGCTTGCAACATGAACGAAGCTCGTCATTTATACGATCAGCTGACCAATATTGCGCCGCTCATGGTGAGTTTGATTGAATTTCCTTTGAAAATGATCGCGTGCTTCTGCCGAAAGTGATGTTCTTCGTACGGATGATTTCCCTCGTGTTAGTTCACCGCTCGTTTCGATGTTCAACGTGAGTCCACTTTTTTTTCTGAGATATGATCACCTGTATTTTGCATCAAATATTTCTTGATACTTTTCAACGTAACCGAGAATGAATGTTGGAAGTTTGCGTTGCATTTCCAGTGATGTTTGAGGGCCGCCTGTTTCCACAATCCGAGTTGTCCTCTTTTTGTTTAGTCGAGTTTTCGAGTGTATTCCGGTGGAAATTTGAAAATTGTCGACAGAGACTCACAATTGAAATGTTCCATTGGCCATTTCCAGATCACGCAATTGTTGAAGAAAATCTGATCGATGATCGTAACTGTCGAGGAAATCCGTGTCTTGAGTATTTTTTTCCGGAAGTGTTCTTCCGACCTCTTTTGCTGGAACTTTGAGTGCGGGTGCGTTCGAAATTGTTGTGTACATCGCTAGATTATTCTCATCGAAACCGTCTGTTGATGTACTGATGCGTCGTTGCATCATTTTAAAGATACTCGGGAACACCTGAAAGGGTGTTGTCATAGTTTCGTTGTGTTGCCAAGCGCTGATTGCCCGAGGCCGGACGTTGAGAAATGTGTTATCTGTTCGTGGAGATTTCTTGAATTTTTTCGCCATGATGTCCATGTCCGAGTTCTGCTTTTCTTCTAGCATCATACTTTCGTGGGCAGTTTGCTGATTGGACTTCTTGAGTCTTTTCGCAAAATCTGGAACATTTTTTTTGTTGCATTTGTCTCCGATGCAATAGCACACGAAGTTACCGGCTGGAGTCTGCTCCTCTTTGCACTCATTATGGAGAGCGTTGCTGGAACACGACTTCGCTGTGGTGTTTTCTGCGGAAAATAGAGTAAAATTTTGTTGCGAGAAAAATTTTGGGGACTTGAAAAAAAGTTAGTTATGACAAACTGAATAATCTATTTCAGCAAGCCTTTCAAAATTAAGGGATAGAAACTATTTTTAAATCTCACCTGCCTATAATTGACCTCAGCTTGCATTTCTGTAACTCAGATTTTTTTAATTATATTTGATAAACTTGGTGATCTTCAAAAAAGAGTCAATCATGCATTCAATGAGTTGCACCAATCTCTTCATTCTGGAAGCATGATGTGTGCAATCACTTGAAAGAAATGTTTGTCATTTATAACAACTTCCATACATGGTACAGGAACCAGTCAGGCACGTTTGAATTGTCAGACTGACTTCGCCTTAGTCACGAAATTACTGTCCGGAGAATCCAGTGAAAATTCCTCAAAAAAGTTTGTTGTACTGGAATTGTGAAGTTATGACTATTTTTTAAACATATACCCGGTGAGCTCTTTGCTGGGACATGCGAAAAAGTTGGTTATATTGACAAATTTGTTCAATTCATTTGTTTTAATGAGATTTTACTGTACTGTAGTCACAAATTTGTATCTCTTGATCAAGATTAATCCCGAAAATTTTGGAAAATTTTGTTCATTATTGAATCGTCAAACGTGAGTTGAGGATGTACGGAATGTTGAAGTCACAAAATTCAGAATACCATCGACTTGATTTGAATGCAATTAGAGCATATGTTGCATCGATTGTTCACATAGGGCTTTCTTGAACAATTATTTTCCTCAGTCTGTCTAATTAATCCAGGTTGGGTAGTTTGGAAGAGCAATATCCTGCATGATTAAGCATGAATTCCTTGTTATTTTTGAGTTAGAGTATTGTGGATATTTCATGTACCTGTTGCAAGGGTTGCAATTTTAGAATATTTGCCAGCCTCGTTGAGCGTGTGCAGGCGTTTGAATTGAGCCCTTTCTTAAGCTCTTTTATTTTGGGAAATTACAGTTTTTGATAAAATGTTAGTTGAAGGATATTTACCCATTGAAGAGTCTGTGTAGACGACCACACATCCTTCGTGATTGTCGCAGATTGTTCGCACGCCACCCCGTTGGCAAGCTGGTTCACTAGCGCATGTATAGCAGGTCACTCTGTATCGATCTGATGTTAGGAAAACAATGAAATTCGATTGAGAACAAGTTGAGGGGGACCTTTTATTCAGTACAGCATTGTTTATTATTCGCTCCTTTTCTTAATTGAAAGACATGCATTAGTAATTTGGTATGCTTATCTTTTCAGCGTTGGTACATCTAAACTTCATGAGGATATTTACTTATGCGGCTTGAAACGCACCTTTCCCTTACGTCCAGTTTTGTATTTCATTTCTATGATTGAATTCAAAGAATGGAAGAGAGTTGCAAAGCACAAGTTCTCGGTGTTGTAAACTGAAATTCACGTGTCAGATGATCCACGCTTGAAATTTCTTTACCGTAACTAAAAACGAAGAAAGTCTTTTAATGTTCATGATCTAAGATTCGGTGATGTTGAATGTCCAGGTCGCTGTAAAATAACTGCGAGGGCCCAAGATGTTGTCCAAGAATGGGTTCCTTTTCAAGTGAAGATTTAATCGCAAGGCGTTCAATTCATCCCGTGGTAGTTCTGAAGATTCCGATTGAGGAAGAATGCGTAGAAGACTCACTGGAGTAACACAATTTCCCAAAAGATTATGATAAGAGATATTTAGGATTAGCAAGCGCGTTAAAATTTGTGGAGAGATCAGAAGACATTCGAGTTAGGTTGATAATAAATTTGTGGAAGGAAATTTTTCCCCTGATCGTAATTCTCTGCATTTTACTACTGCTGCTGAATTTTTCAACAAGCAAACTTACTGATGCAAGTTCCTGTTTTTATCGCGTCTAGGAATTTTGAGTAAAACTTCCTCAATTTATTCTTCATGATCAATCTTTACCTAGGAAGACATACTTCCGATTTTCAGTTTTCGAATTTTACTTCAACTTCTAGAAATGCATCATACAAATATAATCTCCGTCCGGATCTTGTGCGCACCCACTGTTTGATTTAGGGTGTCTCGAGCAACCGCGGTAGATGACGTATTCTGCGATAAATCACGATTTAGAATGTGTTGCGCAAAACTCTTGCCTCTGAAAGAAGCTGTACCTTTCAGGGAACTTGGATAGTGCGTCTCGCAGCTTGTATCTTCCGACTCACAGGTGGCCAAGGTTCCACCGAGGGAACACTCCTCTTCGCTCGTACACATGTAGCATAACAACTTGTTATCTTTGAGAATTTTTGGAGTTTTTTCGGTTATGCGATTGCCGTGCTTGATGGGCTTCGGCGTGGCTAAATACAGAACATTGGAATCAATATTAGGAAAATATAATGTAGCATCTTTCGAAGTTCGTTTAGCTGGAAATGCGCGCCTCAAAGAGCATTATAGATCTTTCTTTTCTAGGAAGACTTACTTTCGATGTTCATTTTTTGAATCTTAATTCACGGAACTTTTGAAAATAAATTACTTTTAGCGAGCATTACCACGCAAAACGTGTCACGATGTGGCGATCTTATTTTTCATTTACTCCGGATGTTGTTTCGAAAGTATTTTGGTAGGATATTTCTTCCATTTCTTCCAAGATTTCCCGCTTTCGTCTCGTGTTCCGCGCATTCTCTACGTATTCTGTTTTTTTTAATTTATTAAACAAATCTCATCTTTCTCACACTCGAACTGTAAAAATTGCGAAGATGCTAATTTATCCATTATTTCCTCAAACATGAAATTTAATTTCCTAGATTCTAATTGCGAACCAATCATAATTTTGGTATAACAATGAAGATGGTGTGGGTGTATTTATAAGATAGATGATTGCGCTGAAATCTTCCAGACTTTCAGAAAATTTGAACATTTCTCAAAAAAGGTCTCAATTGAAGTTATGTATGGATTGAAATTGTGAAGTGAGATGTACTGCTGGCAATAATCTGATTTTCTTCTTCGTTCGTAGCAAAGTGAGGTGGATTCAGACCGCCTTTATAGATTTGTGTTCCAATTTTCCAACAGAAACGCATGCATCCCCTTCTGCAAGATTCTTATTTGGATCTCTTACCCCCAAAAATATGAAGTTTATAAAGCAACAATATGCGTTTCTCATCGAACTTGATTCTCGTCGACAAATAGACAAAATTGCTGATATGTTTCTCGCCATTTTACGCGTCAAGCCCGAGGAAAAGCTTAATACTCACTGGGGGGTGATCGAGTGGATGTGGTGAAATGCGCAAAAATGAGCCCTAGTAACACTGCACGTTCAACTGTATTCACCATTCTGCATCGCGTTTTCGAAATTCTCGTGAACGTATTTTCCTTATTGCGCAAACACTATTTTTGCATTTCCACTATACGGTACAATGGGAACTTTTGTTGCTTGATCGCACACCCTTTGAGTTGTTTGAGTTTCTAATCTAACGCGTTCTATGTTGGAACTATGAGGTCTCGCGCGAATATTTTTATGCGCGCTGCAGTCGATCGGGCTGTGTACGAAATGCAATATTTTATTCTATTTTTTATTTATTTGAAGTCGGAACTAGCAGAGAAAAAAGGATTTCGAAGAGTTGGAAAAATCTGTTTTGCGATACGTCGGTTTCTCCGCGACGAAATCTTGCTTGTTCTTCGTATTTTCTGGGGAAATCATGGAAAATGAACTCACTTCTGCTGCTGTTGGCGTAATCGAGTCTAATCTGTGTATTCTTCCCTCAGTTGGCGTTGACGGCAGCTGCTCCGATCTACCGAGGACTCCTGTCGACCATTGACTGTCGATGGCCCGTCATCATGCAGTCTCATGACGACAGATCGATGGAAGAACTGGGAATTGGACGAGATCCAAAACACATTCGTATTACCAAATCGAGAGCGTCTCAGGTGTCTTATTATCTCTCACCGGCGGGAAAACGGTATGTTTCTGAGGAAGAGAAATCGCGATGATCAATTATCCTGACATTGTGTTTAGTCGTGCCCAAAATTTCAAGATCATTACTGGAAACAAACCTTTTCAATGTAATACGCTTTATTCCTCTTAAATTAGCATAGATTTTCTGTGAACATTTAGGGACTGAAATGTAGAACACGATAAGCAGCAGAAACCTGGGAAAATGTTGAGAGGAAAGAAATACTGTGTATGTTCTCCTGAGAAGCACGAGTAAACGAATAAAAACTGCACAACACAAACTTCCTGGCAAGTTCATTATTAATACAGTTTTGAAATGCGTATCCCTGAAGATTTTGTGGGTCAGGTCATCGTTTTTAATGTATTTATAAGTCCTTGAATACAGTTTTCTCTTTTTAGTCATGACACGAGTATTTGATTACTGTACTCTGACACAGACAATCGGAAACTTATCAATCTTCTTTGGTATTGTTCGATTTTCTGCAATATTTTCGTTTGCTTGGATGTTTGCGACTACTGTACATGGCTGACGGTTTTTTGTCGTTTTTATGAAGGTTCAACGACGTTCCATTGGAGATTGATGAATGCTTCTACTCAGATTTACGAGAAGGAGGAGTGGATGATCAGTTGGCGAAGCATATTGCACATTTGTTCATCAGGGACCCCTTGATTCTTCTCCAGAATGAAATTAATGACCTGGATTCTGTGGAAGATCTCGAACACTTTCATGTACGATTCGTTGTCATTTGCATGAAGAGAAAAAAAGGAGACAAGTTTTGTAATTATGCAGGACTGTATCGCGGATTTTTTGTTGTTGTTGTGCAGAATATCCATTCAAGCAATTGGCAAACGCTGAGATTGAAACCGCCTGAAGTTCCGATTGATGGCAAGTCGCCGGGTTGGCGGATCGAATTCCGTCCGTGTGAAATCCAGTTCACGGATTTTGAAAATGCTGCGTTCACTTCGTTCATTGTGCTCCTGACCCGAGCTATCTTATCACTGAGGCTGGATTTCATCGTACCCATGTCAAAGGTTTGCCTGTCATTCTTATGGTGAACGTTAATTTTGATTACTGAGGACGTTCTCAACCTCTTTACCGTCGGTATTTCAGATCGAGCACCTTTCGACGATGAGATGATTTAAATTTTTGACTGGCTATCTTTTCGTTTTCATCCTATGTTCTTGTTGAAGGGGACTGAGAGTTGTGTGCGAATAATCTTAATTTTGATTTTGTTACCTGAAGAAATTTACCTCATTAAAATTTTGAGGTGCTATATTCAAACCTCATTTCCAAATAAATTCTTCATCCAATTATCGGTATTCAACCCTGCAATAATTTCATGAGCATAATGCTGTAAGTGATCGGTGACCGAAACTGTTTCTGTTGTCTTCCCCCCCCCCCCCTATAAAAACCTTTCAAGCGTACAGTAATTCTAAAAAATACAATAATCTTACTGCTGTAGTTTGATAATGAACAACTGAATAAATAATTGAACCTGTCCGTTGACTTTTTTTTTCGCTTAAAATTGCAATTTGGAAATCCAATTGCATCACAATCGTTCGTTTACTTCGTGGACCGAAAAATGCCTGAAACTTGAAAACATTTAGAAACGCTTCAGTATTCAAGACTGTAGTTCTTCGAATTTTTTAGGGTAGAACCGGACGACTTTTTTCGCAAGATTGAACCTCTTCAAGCCGTTTTGCCATCTTTGAGAAAAAAATACTATGCTGCATATCATTGTCGGGTAGACGTGATACTGAGCGCATTGATTGGGATGATTGCGTATTAATTCTCTGTATACAATTTATGGAGCAAGTCGCATAATTTATGTTTTCTTTGTAAAGTCTGTCACAGAAGTGACAGAAATGTGAAGTTGAGTTCCAAAAGGCTTCCAATTTGCATGATGTGACGATAAATGTGAACGTCAATGATCTCGAGTCAGTCCATGATGTCATATATATTTTTCAGGTTAATGAAAATATAAGTCGAGCTGTTGGAATGAATGCTGCAAGAGAACAGAAGTTTTGGTTCCGTAAGAACTTCTTGCCGCAAGAGGACGATGAAAATTTTGCATTGGCTCGATCAGTTACCCGCTCAGCTTTCCACAAATGTGTATCGAAAGGCTGTGCTTGTGGTGATGGCGACAAAACATTGATAGAGGAGGGAGATGAACTCATTGTCGTGCTCCCATGTGCGGAAACGGTAAAATCTGATGATGTAGTCATTGAGCTGACTATGAATGAAATCTTCAACGGAAAGGCATGCACTTGGAATTCTTGTCATTATTTTTGCTGTTGACTGATTCGATATTTTTTCATTTTTTGAAGGATGATATATTTCCAGGATTGATCCCTTTGATTGAATCGTATTTGAATGTTGTGGAAGTTGATGTTGAAACTTACCGGACATTGGGAGAGTACCTGAGACTAATTTCTCAGAGAGCTGCTGGTCAGACATTAACCCCCGCCCAATGGATTCGAAATTTTGTGAGAAGTCACCCCGCCTACAAGTCAGTTCCTTTCGATGATGAAGTGTTTTTTTTCCTGCCGTGTTATACTGTTTTCTGGATTTCTGTGAATCCTGCTCCTCTTTTCTAATTTGAAAAATTGAAATGGATTATCGCTCGTTTTGCTTCGTGTTCTTACCTTTTACCAAGACCTCGTCGGTCGGTTTTTCAATTTTTTTTCTACCGCTTACTCGTGTGCTGTTCCCTCCATGAAGAAAATCTTGGACAATTCTTCAGTATTGGAAAACACTGGACGTTTTGAGAATTTATCTCCCGATTAAGATAGATCTCCATTTTGAGTCTCAAAAGTACTCGTCGCCAAGGCTCAACTTCATAGGATGTGCTGCAGTATCAAACTTTCCAAAGTTTCGGTGATTCTGTCGTTGACGAAGCGATTTTTTCAAGTAAATTCCGTCATATTTGCGCACACTGTCTTTTTTAAACGTCGAATACAGTACAGTATATTGATGATATACCGCAGCATCGTGAAGAATGCTTCTCCTTTATTCGATCTGTTTTTACCTTTTCAAAAATACAGTACTGTACGTGAAAAAACGTTTCCCAATTGAACTGCCTGAGACTAGCTCTGTTTCTGACGCTAGTTATAAATATTGTGGGATGAGCAAATTTTCTGATTTCTTGATCACGCGAAGAGTTTCGCGTCACGCATTGATTGTTTGCTTTTGCACTTTCCTCTTCGTACTATAATAATGTATCTTGTATTTTATTTGCAGACAAGATTCTGTAGTTTCGGAAGAAATCACCTATGACCTGCTGATGACCGTGGATGGGTTGACTGAAGAAGAGAATCGCGACCCGCTGTTGTTTGGGTCTACCCGTGAAACCTGCTCTGCGAGTCATTTGCCTGCATCCATCAAGAAGGTCACTTCTGCTCGATTCTTGGATGGCGTGAACGCATGACTTGATGCGTTCCTCTTACCATTTACATTCTTCGACCATAAATAGAAAATATTTCCGTGCACTGGTTTTTGGGACTGAATAATCGGGATGCAGAGTATTCAGTTGAATTTCACAGAAACGATCTGAACTTCGTGCGTGCGTTTCAAGTTTTAAAACCGAAGATGGATTTTGTGTGTTGATCGCTTTCTCGATTCGGCATGCAATATTTTTTTTAGTGGATCTCTTGGTGGAGGCTAGTGAAATTATGCTTTAAAATGCGTCAATAGTACGGGTGCTGGGAACGAGAACATTTCGATGCTAATTTTCGTTAGATAATTGTGATTGTACCCCTATTTTCTGTGCTAGGACTTGAGGGAATTTCCTAAACCGCTGTACGTTTTGGGTCTGTTGTCGGCCCTGAAAGTTGATTCTGTTATATATAAGGGAATGACTCAGTGTAATTTTGATGATTCCTCCATTCGTTTTGAAATTCGGGAGGTTTATTGCGCCCGAAAATTGTGAGAAAGATCTCCGTTAGTACGGGAGAAAGCCAATTTTTGTATTCACTCCACATAAGGAGGTTCCTTCGTGCTGTGTCGAAATTTTTCAAAAAACCAGAAGTTCATATGTGATGTGTTCAAGTGAGAATAGACGATGAGAGAAAAAAAAATTATGAATCAGGCTGAAATGAGTATGAAGGGCGTTGCTTGCTGTCTTTCAACGAAAATTATGATACGAAAAGTGCTTGATTCGTTCAAAAAACCGTTCGAGAAAATTTTTAATTCGAGTTTGTTGGAGAAATGATATTTGCTCATTTTTTTTCGGAAGGTTCATATTCATTTCCAGTGCGAAAAATGTTCCAGTTTAATTTGCGGCTGCTGGTTTCGGTATCATATTGCCAATTATCACCCGAAAATGAAGTCTGCCATTTCAATGTAATTTCCTTTCCTGTGTCTCAGCATATTCTTGGCTCGGTACTCCGCGAATGAATCCGGCTTGTTCTTCTTTGCGCACATCACGTGTCCGATTTGATCCAAAATGTCGATCACCTATTGGGAAATGAAATTGTCGGGTTAAAATTGCTCGAAGGTCGTATTGAATGATTTATTGGGATTGGCGGAAAGAAGACACACAGGATAGACTTTTAAAACGCAGGGGGAAGAAAGCTTCTTGAAATATTTGTGATGCTCACTTTGTCAATTTGTTGCCGAGAATGTGAAGCCGATAAGCAAAATCGGATCCTTGTTTCAAAGAACGCGACAGCCGGGGAACCGACGACGACGATGCTAACTCCTGCTGCTTGCATCATCCTTGACACCCACCTGTTGATGGTCAAGTGATCAGTGCATAGCTTCTTGCCTTAATCAAGTCAGTTATTTCGATGTTTGATTATGAAAAATCAAGAGCATGGCACATGCTTTTTTGTTGGGAAATTGAAGCGTATGGCGCATTAAAGAATTGTATTCTCAGCTGTGGGTTTAGTGAAGCTTCAAATTATCTTAAACTTACGGAAGACAGATGAGCGACACCTTCACGGGCACAATGGGACATTCAGGGTGGCCGTAAACGTGGAACCCGAGTTTCTGCAAATTTTCTCGCATGTAGACGGCATTCTGTCTCAGTCTCTGGATTTTCATTTTCCCTGTTAGCAAGACATGAAATAATTATTTACTTACGCTTAGAGATTCAAAGCATATCACAATATTATGTTGATGTTCGAAATAAATGCAGCAAAACTACAGAAGCGTCACCAGCGAAGCAAACATTTATACGACCAATATTACACCCAAAGAGAAAAACTACACCTTCATGTATAGTACTGTATCAGTACGGTGTAGTGAACATGAGTCAGTGATCGTTACTTTTTTTATAGTACTGTATAAGTGATCCGCTCAAATCGAAGTTAGTGAAGCATGATCAATTGTTGTAGGTGATGTAACCTTAAAAAGTAATAAGTAACATCACGTTTATATACACATCCATGGTTTTTCTGATTATTCAAGTGTTGGATTCTATTCGCAGCTTGTCCACGTAAGTTTTAAACAGAAGATGTGGGAAATAATCTCACCCTCCGCAGTTCCGTCATGCCCCTGGATTACAGACAATGTAGATGCGATCTGTTGCATCACCGGCGGGCTCATCGACTGAGCGTAGCATGGAGAGTGCGACGAGACTCTCAAATGGTTGATTATTTCCTGTTGGGATAGTCAATGCAGAATTTAACAGAGATGCAGCATTAAATAGACGTGAAGTTTTCTGGAAAATGGGTGAGGCGTATTGTGAAGTGTTTCTTCAACAGATAATCTAGGACCATGCTTTTCAAGTCTCACTGCTGAAGTGAAAGGTAAAAAAAAAACTGTACATCCCTTATATTAAACCTGCAATTATATACCTATGTGTCTTTTTTGTCCTAAAAATAAAATGGAAATTGAGAAAATACTGAAGGAATCCTTCCTGAATAATAAAGTCATTCATTCAAAACTGTTTTGTGCTTGAAATAGAGGAAAATTATTTTCCATATAGTGTTCATTTGGAAGAAAAGGCTTATATTCTGAAACGGAGCTGAAGACTTTCCAAGAAATATTTCATGTGGTGTATTTTCTTGAAAAACTGATTTTTTTCAATAGAAGGTTTTGTTTCTTTGATGAAGTTGGAATGCTGCTCCAGTTCAATTTTTTTCTACCAAACATCAAATGATCCCTATGGTCTTTGTACTGAACCAAAGCCAATATTTCTATATGCAGTAGTACTGAGATTAAAGCGTAGAATGATTTTGTTGAAATTGAATTATCATAACATGGCGCCCATGGACTTTAATTGTAGTATAACATTCATTATAAATTACAACTGTTACCATCAGATTCATTTCAACAGAATTCTACTCATGTTCTTTGGTGTTATTACACAGATGCCAAATACAAAAAGACCCCAACATGTGGATGCCGCATAGCATATGGACAATTCCACTCAGGGACACTTGCCACTCGAAAAAATCTGCGCAAACATCCGGACAATAGCACAGGGACACTTCGCCAAAATATTCCAGGAAAGTTGATTTTTTCATTTTGATATGCCTCAAACAAATAGAGCAAAAATATTTAAATTCACAAAAATTGAAAATCCATTCCATTGTTCACTCTAATTTGTAATAAAAGTCAGGCTGATTTTGAGCTTATTTCTCCAGCATTTTCACCCTATCATCTGTGTACAGTATAGCAGGGCTTATTTTTAATCTTTCCTTTTTGAGCTTCTTTTAAAGGCAAAGGATCAGATTGTATGTGATTTTATTCTGCCCTGTTGTTTCTGGATCTATTGAAGTTGAGGAAAGAATTTTCAGTTAATTTTCGGGAGTAAGCATTCCTAATTTTTGATCAAGAGGATAACCGATTAACACTTGGATGGCAGCAGGTCTATTTCCATCCTGTATAGTGTTGCTGGGACATTTTTGCCAACTTGTGCAAAAATGTCCCATTGTTCACTTTGAACATTTTTCTGTTGATCAAGAGGATAACCGATTAACACTTGGATGGCAGCAGGTCTATTTCCATCCTGTATAGTGTTGCTGGGACATTTTTGCCAACTTGTGCAAAAATGTCCCATTGTTCACTTTGAACATTTTTCTGCATTCATTCCATAGGATTAGCCTCATTACGAGATTTTGAAAACAATGGTTTTCAAAGTGAAAACAAAAATTGAAAATCCCCCTCATTACGGGATTTTGAAAACAATGGTTTTCAAAGTATTGTTTTCAAAATCCCTTAATGAGGCTAATCCTATGGAATGAATGCAGAAAAAATGCCACCCAGCAGTAAATAATTTCTGTGGGCAAATATTTTTCTGTAGGAATGTATGGTTTTCACTTTGAAAACCATTGTTTTCAAAATCCCTTAATGTGGCTAATCCTATTGAATGAATTCAGAAAAAATGCCACCCAGCAGTAAATAATTTCTGTGGGCAAAGATTTTTCTGTAGGAATGTAAAACAAAAGAAATTGGATATTCTGGACTTTGGCTCTTCTAATCATGCTGGCTTTTTCAATTTTTCCTTTCATTTGTGGCACAACATTGCGCAAATAAATCCCAGCAGCAACACCCAAGGGGTAAATATGCTTGGAGAAAACGTGATCTGACATGTGGACACTCTGACGTAGGGACAAAGTCCAATTAGAACTTCTGTGTCAGCATCGCGGGGTGCCACTGTTCATTTCTTGCTTATATCCATGGGCAGTTCAAGTCTTCATTTAGCAGCACATATATATATATATTCATATTGTTCAAATACCATAATCACCTTGGATGCCGAAATATAGCCTCCAAAAGCAGCAAAGCTTTTTGTGAAGGTGCCCATGAGAATGTCAATATCTTTCGTGCCGGTCTTGAACAAGTCAGCAACTCCTTTTCCGTTCGGACCCAATGCCCCAATGCTGTGAGCTTCGTCCACATAAAGATACGCCTGTTTTCCGTTCAGGAACCCAGAGAAAGACATAAACAAAAAGAGGAGTTTTTGTTTAAAGAAGCCAGACAATCCGCGATTTCTTCCTCTCACCTTGTACTTTTTCTTGAGTCGAATGACTTCTGGAAGGTTCACGATGGTTCCTTCCATCGAATAGGCTCCTTCGACTATGATGAGGATTTTTTTCCATTTTCTGCATTTTTCCCGTTCACCGAAAATGACTGCTTCCTCTAGCACCTTTTCTAGACTTCGCGTATCTTCAAGTAGTGGAACAATTTCAGGTTAAATACCTGTGTATATTGTTATTCATTTTGAAGTCATCATATCCTATACTATAGAGTGAGTTTGACATTTTACGA